CCCTAAAGCAAAAACCCCTCCAAAAAAAAAAAAAAAAAAAAAAGGAAAGTCTGAGAAACTGTCACAATCCAGAGGGGTCTAAGGATATAGGCAGGGCTCCCGAAGAAGATTCTAGAACATAAAGAGGACGTCAGGTTAAAACTAAGGACATGTGAATAAAGTGTGAACTTTAGGGACTGGCCACGTGATGCAGTGGGTAAAGTAGCTGACCCTTCATGGCCCACCTTTATGGCTTGAGTCCAACCCAGTAGTTTAAACTCACTCTGACGGCATCTTTACTGAGTGGAATCCGGCAGCCTTCATATACCCTGAGCCCAGTTTGGGGAGTGGCCAGGGTCTACTCTGCAGCATTGCCCCAGAGAAGGAGTCCAGGTCATGCTGCACACGCCTCTGCCTGGCCACAGCTGCACAACACCGTCTGCCATCACACGCACCTCTGTCCTAAGGAGTAGCTGGACAAGCCACCCTGTCCACAGCTGCACACCACGCAGGGAGCTGCAAGGGCAGTCCTGTCTATCTATGGTCTGTGGAAACAGCCAGGAAACTCACCCTCTACCACATGCCACATGGGAGCACCAGAGGACTCCACTCATCCATGGAGTTGCCCTGTCTCTAGGAGAGCCAGGTACCAACTGGTAGGCCAGCCACAAACTCCCATCAGTCTAGGTGACCAAGGCACTCTCAGATATCGCCAATGCTGGTCACACAGACAGCACTACCCTACTCTCTAGCACCACAGCCAATGCACTCTACCGAATAACCGAGGCCCCATTCTGAGGGGACCATCTTTCTCCATGTAGTCACCCTATAAAACTGGAAGAGGCCACTGATAAACCAGATGCATAAATATCGATATGGGCATGAGAAACATAAGAAGCAAGAAACACGGCATCCCCACCCCCTACTATGAGCACAATAATTCTCTAGCAAGAAACCCCACAGAAAAGGAAATCTATAAGACACCTGGAAAGAAATTCAAAAGACTGAAAAATAAGATACAAGTGAATACAGATAGCCAATTCCATGAAATCAGGAAAACAATATGAAATCCTAGTGAAAAATTCAATGAGGACATTTACATAAAAAAGAACCTAATCAGGGGCCAGAAAGTGCCATGGTAGTTGAGGCTTTAGATTCCCACATATCTGATTGCACTTCGAGTCCCAGATTTGATGGTTTGAAAATCATGCCAGGTGCATGTGTGTGCACGACCAAAATCCCAGCAGGAGAATGGAGAAGGGATTGTGGTATGACCATCTCCCCTGGGTGGTGGGGGTGATTTCTCAATTTCCCTCTCTCTGTCTCTCCCTAGTAAGCACACACAACCTATGGTCAATAAAAAATAATAATTTTTTTTGAAGAAAAGCCTGATGGAAATCAAGAAGCTGAAGAATTCAGTGGAAGAAATAAAAAATACAAGAGTTTCAACCACAGATGATCAAGCAGAAGAATTTATGAACTTGAAGACAGGTCTTTTGAAAAAACCTAGTCAGACAAAATACAATAATAAAATAAAGAACAAAAAAGAATAAACAAAGCCTACCAGACCTACGGGGTATCATTAAGCAAACAAATATTCATAATATGGCAGTTCCAAAAGGAGACAATATGGGGAAAGGTATAGACAAACTATTTAAAGAACTAATACCTGAAAACTTGTAAAGTCTTGGGAGACATATGGACATCCACATTCAGAAAGTTCAAAGGTCTTTAAACAGATTTGACCCAAGAAGATCCCCTTCAAAGCATATTATAGTCAAACTGTCAAAAGACAAAGACAAAGAAAGAATTCTTAAGGCATCAAAAGAAAAGCATCAAGCTACACACTCTCATATGAGGGAGTCTACACCAGGCTAACAGCAGATTGCTCAGCAGAAATCTTAGGCGCCAGAAGAGAACAGGATGAAACATTCACAATACTGAAAGAAAAACACTGCCAGCTCAGAACACCATAACCCACTAAGCTATTATTCTTCAGAAATGAAGAGAAAAATGAAGCCTTTCCCAGATAAGCAAAGTCTAAGAGAATTTATCATCACTAGATCAGCTTTATGCTTAAGTGAGTTCTATATCTGAAAACAAAAGGCTGATAATTACCATCATAAAAAATATAAAAGGTCCTGATAGGGCAGATAAACAAATCAGAAAGAAAAAGGAATCAAATCTTAGCACTAGAGAAAATCACAAAACTCCAAAAATAAAAAACATAAAGAAAGGAACAAGAGAAAAAAAAAAAAAAGAAAACAGAAAACCGTTAATAAAATGACAGGAGTGGGGCCTGCAGGTAGTGTGGTGGTTAAGGATGCTGGACTCCCACATGGGCAACCCTGGTTTAGTCCTGGACCTGGCAGCTTGCTTTCTCACTTTCTCTCTTCCTTTTTCTCTCTCTATCCCTCTCTGGTCAAGTTAAAATAAATAAATAAAGTTAAATAAAAATTTTTTAAATGACAGGAGTAAGTCTTCACCTACCAATAACACTTTTGAATAAAATTGATTAAATTCCTAAATTAAAATGTATAGACTGAATGGATAAAAAGTAAGACACAACTATATGCTGTCTCAAATTATCAGTGATAGAGAACACAAAGACTAAATGTGAAGGGATAGATTAAGGTATTTCATGCAAACAGTAACCAAAAGCAAGCAAAAGTAGCTATACTTAGATAAAATTAACTGTAAGTGTGAAACTGGAAAAAAAAAAAAAAGGAGCAAGAGACCAACAGGTCATTATGTCATTATATAATGATAAAGAAGTCAGTTTGGGGACCAGCAGGTGGTGTGGTGGTTAAGGCACTGGACATTCCCATATGGCCAACCATGGTTCAAGTCCTGGACCTGGTGGCTTGCTTTCTCATTCTCTTTCTCTATGTGTGTGTGTGTGACTCTCTGGTCAAAATGAAATAAGTAAATGAGTAAATAAAATTAAAAATATTAAAAAAAAAGAAGTCAGTTCAACAAGAAGATATAACCATGGTAAATATAAATGCACCCAACACCAGAGCAACCAAATATAAAAGCAAATATTATTAGATATAAAGGGGGAAAGAGGTTCCAATATAATAATAATTTGGGACTGCAACACCCAACTCTCAGAAATGAACAGATTATCTAGACAAAAGAAAAATAGAATTATACTGCATTATAAACCAATGGACCTAATAGACATGTATACACGGTCCATTCACCCACTGCAGAATACACATCCTGATCAACACATGAAATGCTTTCTAGGATAGGCCACAAAACGAGTCTAAACCAATTTCTTTTCTTTTTTTTTTTTAATCTTTCTTTTTTTGGAGAGGTTTTTGCTATAGGGCACGTGTGCTCACCAGACAGACATGGAGAGACAGAGAGACAGAAAGCGAGAAACCACCCCCCAGGGAGGATGGCCACGCCACAATCCCTTCTCTTCCATTCTCCTCTCGGGATCTTGGGCACGCACACACACACGCCTGGCGTGAGTTTAAGCCACCGGGTCCAGGAATCGAACCACAGTCGACTACGTGGGTGTCCAGCTACATAGCCATTACGCTAACTGCTGGTCCCTCTAAGCCAATTTCTAAAACCTGAAATCTTACCAAGTATCTTTTCTGACTGCAATGGAATAAAACTAGAAATCAATGACAACAGAAACTTTGGAAATTCTGTTAATTAAATAATACGCTCCTGAACAATCACTCATTCAATTAAGTAGGGAATTTTTTAAATTTCTTAAGACAAATAAAAATAAAAACACTACATACCAAAATCTACGGGACACAGCAAAAGCATTACTAAGAGGGAAGCTTAAAACAATAAATGCCTACAATATTAACTTTAAAAAGCAGAAAGATTTCAAATAAACAACCTAAACTTGCACCTCAAGGAGCCAGTAAACGAGAACAAACCAAACCTAAAATTACTAGGAGGAAATAGATAATAAAGACCAGGGCAGAAATAAATTAAATAGAGATTAAAAAAAAAAAGTCAATGAAACAAAAAGTTGAATTTTGCTTATTATAAAAGAAGATATTAATACATTATTAAGTAAGGGATTTTGTTAAGTAAATGAATTTTACAATGTGAGATAATAGATGTTAATCTGTTTCACTAACCATTGTTCTTTATGTACCCATAGCTATTCATACCTCTTCATCTTTATGTATTCCACAATACCAAGTTGCAAATCTAAAAAGGACGCAATAAAATTTATTTTTTTTTAAATGGAGCATAAAGAAAAGTAACAGAGAAAAATAAACTGTTCTGTCAGGCTGGCAGAAGAATCTCATGCCCTGCAACAGGTAAATACTCTTTCCTTCTAAACTCATGTGACTACTTATTTTTGTTCTTGTATGTACTATTTTTAGAAATATTCCCTCTAACTGGGAGAAAACTACACAATAATTTAATGACATTTGTCTGAAAATATTTAAGCACATATTAAATTTCCATAATAAGCTTTGAAGTTATATGGTTTAATATTTCTGACTGACGAAGCACTTAAATCTTACATTTGGGCATCTTGTTCACTATTAAAGAAGAAATGCATGACAAGATAATTCAGATGTAATTTTTTAAAGAATTAGTTTATTTAATCTTATTTGTCATTATTATTTTTTCTTACTCTGCTACAGGCCATATGCACTCATCGCGGAAAGACAGAGAGGGAAAGTGAGAAAGCAAGTCACCAGGTCCAGGACTTCAACCATGGTTGGCCATGTGAACCGTCATTCCAACTGCTGGTCCCCAGATGTAACTGTTTCAGGTTCTGAATCTCCTGATCTTTCTGCTATGCCATTATATTTTATAAATAAAATAATGATAATGTAATAACAATAACTGTGAAAATTGGATAGAATTTTGAATTTCTTAGGAGAAAAAATATTATTGCAGCGAATCTTATCACTGAACATTTAGAAAATAAAAATGAACTTTTTTAAGTTAATGGTCTCCATTTATATATTTTGTTATTAACTTTGTCTTAATTTCTTTTCAGGTTAACATTTTCCTTATCTTTTTTAAATTATTTATTTATTTAAATTTATTTATTATTATTATTAGTTTTTAATTTGACCAGAGAGAGAAAAGGAAAGTGAAAAAGCAAGCTACCAGGTCCAGGACTTGAATCAAGTTTGGCCATACAGGAATCCACCAACTGAACCACCACACCACCTGCTGGCCACAACATTTTTCTTTTTTTTAATCTTAAAATTTCTTATTTTCATTCCACTATTGTACATCTCTATAGTACACAATATGGTTTTCAAAATATACATATAGTAACAATATAATCAATGATATTACCATATATATCATTTACAACAGAGAATTTTACATTCTTGTTCTTGGTAAGTATTTCCTGATCATTCTTGTGCCAGAATTCATTTCTTTGGGACTGTAAGTTTAAGATCCTCATTTTCTTGTTGGCTGTAACTCAGGGCTTGTCCCAGGTTCTAGAAGCTGCCACATCTTGGTTGTGATCCCCTTACTCTAATCTGAAGGTCAGCATTAGGGGTCAAGTCCTCACATCCTGTCTCTCTGACCCAGTTTTCTTTCCTTCCACTTTTTAGGACTTACATGATTAAATTGTGAGTCCTAATTTAAGAAATTTAAAATTCTAAGAAATTTAAATTTAAAATTTAAAATTCGGTCCCACCCAGATCATTCAGAATAATATCCCACCTCAAGGTTCTAAACCTCGATCACAGCTGCGAAGTCTCTATTGCCACAAAAAATAACATACCGTTCAGAGTCCTGGGATTGGCAGATGGTCACCACCTCGGAGAGAGAATGTGTGTAGATAGTGAAGTCCGGGGATCTAGGTCTCCACCCTGTAATAGTCCTGAACTTACGACTTGGAGAGATGAGAGATAAACCAGTAAAGGAAACTAAGGGGGAGTCACTAAATAGGAGGAAGAGAACGGTGAATGGTATGTGAGATGCAGAGCGCAAGGAAGGACATGTCGATTGCTGCTGGGAGGTCAAGGAAGATGAGGACTGAGGGTTGGCCATTGGATTTAATAAAATGGAGTTTCCTGGTGACCTGGGGAAAAGTACTTTCAATGGAGCGGTCGGGGCGGCTCACAATAACAGACAATTCAAGAGAAAAAGGGATTCTCCAAAGAAGGTATATAGATGATCAACACACACGTGAAAGATGTCCAATACTGTCAGTCATTTGGAAAATGCAAATTAAAACCACAATGAAGGTCAGACAGGGGTGCAGCGGTAGCATAACAGGGCTACATGGAGGGTCCTGGATTCAAGTCCCAGGGGCTCCCAGGGCACTACAGGGATGCCCATGCCCGGAGTACGAGCTGGCTGGGGTTTAGGGTGGACTGCACTGTGGGGGCCCTGTTGGGAGTGCCTCTCTCGCTCTCTCTCTCTCTCTCTATATATATATAGATAGATAGATAGATAGATCTATCTCTCACAACAGAAATAAACTTTGAAAAGAAAATCCATGATGAAGTAACACTTCACACACAGTAGCTGTAAGTTTTTGAAAATAAAAGAAGAATTGAAGGAGACTAGCCTATGACATGGTGTTTAAGGTGGTTGGATTCCATGTGGCTAGTTGCACAGTTTCAATTATGAACCCATAAACTTGAGAAACACAATCTCGGTGCATGTGTGTACCCAAAACCTGGAGAAAGAAATATAGAATGGATCTTGGTGTGACCATTCCCCATGGGGATGCTTTCCCACACTCTCTCTCTATCCCCAGTAAGTGCATGCACACTCTGGCAAATTAAGAAAAGAAAGAGAGAGTTGGCGAGGATATGAAGAAATCTTCACAAGTCTCTGGTGTGAACGTAAAAACGGAACAGGGAAAGTGAAAGAAATGAAAGAATGAGAAGAGGATGGAATACAAGAAGCTTTATGAATGATAACCCATGGATCAGGGCGACCTGTAGGGTGTCTGAGATGAAAGAAGAAGAGGATTCAAAACGAAAGTGTGATTCCCTGTGATGTAAACCACACCCTCAACACTTCATACTCAGGAGAACTTAATTGAGGTCCTTGACATTCCTGGAGTCACTCTTTTCATTTGCACAATGGGGGTTTTGGCCTAACAGAATTGTTGACAGTCTGCGTGAGAGTATTCTGTAAAGCCTATTGAATGATGTTATGAACAAAAATGCAGAGAGAGAGCAGAGTTGAGGATGTGGGTGACATCCCAAACAAGTCTTCTATGGAAAAATAAAATAAGACAAGTAAGATAAATAAAACAAAGATAAACTAAGACGAATATCAATGAATACCAAGTCCAACCAGAGTGCAAAGTCCCTCATCCCATGTATTCCAACTTTTATCAAGGCCCCATTTTCCTCAGAGGGGAAGTTCCTCTTTCATCTTCCATCAGTTATGTCATCATCAGTGAGCTATTTGGAGTGGGACATTGAGAGAGGAGACTGGGATCCTTGGGAGAGGAACTGAAGGATACTCCTATCTGAAAATTCCAGACTCCAAGGTCCTCGGGGGACATGTGAGATATTAGTCTTTCTACCTGAACAATGAGGGTCTTTGCCTCACAGAATTGTTTGAGGTCTAAGTGACAGTCTTAGGTAAAACCTACTGAAAGAGGGGCCAGCAGGTGGCATGATGGTTAAGGGCACTGGACTCCCACATGGCCAACCATGCTTCAAGTCCCGGACCTGGCGTCTTGCTTTCTCTTTCTCTCTCTCTCTCTCTCTCTCTCTCTCTCTCTCTCTTTCTCTCTCTCTTGTTCTCACTCTCACTCTGTCCCTCTCTGTTCAAATCAAAACTAATAAATTTAAATAAAATAATTCTTGACCATCCCACCTGGGGGGTGATTTCTCACTTTCTGTCTCTATGTCTCTCTCTGTCTGTCTGGCGAGCGCATGCGCCCTACAGTGAAAATCTCTCCCCCCCCAAAAAAAAATAATAATAATTCTTAAAAAAAAAGAATTTTTTAAAAAATACCTACTGAGAGACCAGCAGTTAGTATAATGGCTGTGTTGCTGGACTCCCACGTAGTTGACCACGGTTCTTCAGATCCCAGCCCTGGTGGCTTGAAAAACATGTCAGGTGTGTGTGTCTGTGTGCCCAAGATCCTGAGAGGAGAATGGAGAAGGGATTGTGGCGTGGCCATCCCCTCTGGGGAGTGATTTCTTGCTTTCTGTCTCACTGTCTCTTTCAGTCTTTCTGGTGATCGCACACACCCTATAGCAAAAAAGAAAAAAAAAAAAACTCTCTCAAAAAAAAATACCTACTGAAAGACATTATACTGCAGAGAGGTAGCAGATTTGAGAACATGAGTGATATCCCAGACATGTCTTGTATGAAAAAAAGGAACCTGGACAAAAGGACATCTATGCCTATCTGTTCTAAGCCAGCGTATAAGGTTCCTCATTCCAGATCTCCCACCCCATCGAGACTCCCCACTGTCCACTTACAAGAAAGCTCCTCTTTCAAACACCAGCTGCTCCGTCTTCAGTGAGCTTAGTCAGAGCAAGGCACAGATGTCAGAGGACAGGATCCTTGGGAGAGGAACTAAAGGATATCCCCATCTGAAAAGTCCAGAATCCAGGATCTGCAGTGGTAACAGGAAAGACAGGAAATTGCTCTGCCACCAACTATTTGTAGTTTGGGATATCAGTTACCAGTATGTACCCTGAGGACTCTTGTAAGAATAAGAAGATAGAATAAAGTATTTGGGTTAAAACTGGTCCAGGGAGATTTGAAAGCCCAATTCCTTCCTATTTCTTTGTTAGTTTGCTTTTTTGTTTTGTTTTCTTTTGGTTTTCAGCCTCAGGCAGGGTGGTAAGGAACACTGCTTGGTCATATTTTACACTGCTTTGAGGCTGATGACTACTGAGGTCCACCTATGACTGAGAAGGCATCTCATGTACCTTCAGCTTTCTGCTCAACCAGGGGGAAGAGGGCAGGGATGGAGCCTCCTGTTACGGATCCTCCACCTTCTCCCTCACCCACCTGCCATGCAGCAGATGCCATCATACTCAAGTGTTTAGCATAGACCCTGCTCAGACCTTTCTTATCTGATGTCAAAGATGAGGCAGTTGAGCAGAGATGAATTGAAAGGAAAACAATAGTCCTAGGAATTTAGGCCTCCCAACAAGGTAAAGAAGCTCATAAAAATAAAATCAGTCCATCTCTGATGGAAGAGCTGAGGCCCAAGGCAGGAGGCAGAGGCTGAAAGAAGGTAAGGCCCCCAAGAGAGGAAGAAGACTTCATATACCATGGTGCAGACTCCACAAGGTCCTCAGGCAATCAGATACTGGAAATGAGGTGAAGATATCTCCAATTTGGACCTCTGAGCCAGACAGGGTCATTGGGAGGTAAAGATGCTCACCCTTGCTTCCTAAACTCTGAGCTGTGCATCTCCCTTTGTGGGCACCAGTGGGATGAGTGGAAGGAGGTGGCTCAGACTCTTCATACTGAAAGGTCTGAATCTCTTTTTAATTGGCTTCCCACAGTCCCACAACAATCCTGAGGGAACTGCAGGCTAGCCCAACAGGAAGACTTATGACTCCAATCCAGGCACTGGGACAGAGGCCTTAAATCCATGGTGTATGTAAAGATCTGATGTGGGAGAGACCATTTCTAAACCTCTGACATTCAGGCAGTCTCCATGGAATAGGGCATTGGAAGAGGGCTTTGGACAGGTTAGTAGGATTCAACATGTAGGGCTGGCAGTGAGGAACAGGGAGAGGGAACTACCAACTCTAGGCAGAGGGGTATAAGTGAACCAAAAGGAAGACAATCTAGGGTTTGGGGTCAGCCAGGATGAGGGTTGCCAGTAGAGGCTGGGGACGAAAGCAGGATTTTGGTGCCAAAATGTGGTTCCACATTCTCCCTGGGACTATGGCCATGTGCTAGGTCATTCCCAGACTGACCACTGCGTGTGTACATGCACAAGTTCATGAACGGGAGTAAGGAAAAGAGGGTTGCTGTTTTTACATACCAGCGACATTTGATGGAAAGAGACAGGCACATCTTGGGAGTTAATTGTCACTATGTATCAAAGGGTTTGGAGAACACTGATTAAGGAAGCAGTTTCTTGATTGATGAAAAATAACTCAGTTATGGTTGCCTACTGCTAGAAGGTTATACAGTGTGTTACGTAGCATGCAGTGTATTCTGTAACAGTGCTGAATAACACTAAAATGAAAAATAAAAAGACAGGAATAGAAAGAGGCTAGAGATAGTTGGGTCAGATTTTCTCACGAGCTTCACCTATCAGAGGCCACAGTACCCACATCAGGAGGAATGAGGTTACACTGCACATCCACTCTCACCACAAGTACCCTATCTCAGGACAGAAGAAGACCTGAAGCTGCTTTCCTAAGAAGATAACTCCTGACTATGGGCTTCTGAGTTCATTCTCTGGTAAACAGAAAGCTGAAAACGGCTTAGAATAGTACTAATTCTTCTTCCTACTCCACAGGAAGGTGGGCTTGGGACCATTGGCTAAGGAAGGTATAATGTGGCTTTTACTGGCCAATCACACACACACACACACACACACACACACACACACACACACACATACACATACACACATACACACACACTGGCACCTCAATAGGAGCCCTACACAAGGTCTACAAAGGAAGTCTTGGGTCAGTTCCACTATAGGCTCCCACCTACTCATGCTATAGCCATTACCCGCAACTCATCATCCGAAACCCAGGTCCTAATTCCATCCACCAGAGCACGATCAGCACTTATACAGTCTCTGTGTCTGGGCAGCTGCTGGAGGGAGCCAAGGAAATGATAGGACCACTGCTTCCCAGGAAACTGTGGCCACAGTAAGGGTAATGCAGAGCAGGAGCTAGGGCTGGACTGAAGTCAGTACAGGCAGATGTATGCAGGTTTCAAGCTCAAAGTGAAGGTGTCCCAGGAGTGCTGGATTTTTCCTGCTTCCTCCAATTAAATGATCTTCATGGCCTGAGCTGGTCTATGGATCTCCGTGTAGATAGTAGCGAGAAGCTCCTCTTCTTCCAGCTGTTGTTCACTGATACCCTGGGAATGTAAGACAGAGGGCTCCTGAAACAGCTGGGGATACAGCAGAGCCCAGGGAATTCACACAGAAGCAGTGCCTGTTGACATGCCCTGCTCAGGAATTCCCCCAAAACAGCTAACAGAATACTTGCCCCAATTGTACATTTCCTTAGTAAATACGACTGATTATCCAGAAATCGAGAGAAGCCATGAGGCGAGTAAGGGCAGATGCCTGGGTACAGAGGCACATGACTGGGAAATGAGGAACCTGGGCTGCCCACTGCTCCCAGTTCTCACTTTGTTCTTACCATTCTGAGGCAGACTCCTACTCCGTCAGATTTCCATAGATGTTATTGCCATTGCCCTGTGGTCTTCCTGCAATTCTGCATCTGAGAAACACACAAACAAAGTTGGAATCTGTGCCTTGAAAACCTGTGTCCCTTCCCAGTGCCATGAACCCTAAGGCCATGGCCATAACTACCATTCCTTCTGCAAGGCCCACTCCCTGAACAGGAAAATCCAGGAAAAAGGCAACCATTGGGGAAAGGAGGTATCTGGGCCTGGAAAGAACAGTACAACCTGCCTCTTACTGTCTTAGTCTTCTTCTCACAAGTCTTCCAAAACAGTCCAGCCACCAGGATCAACAGTACAACCAGAGAAGATTTTATGATGCATTGCAGGGGTCCAACTACGGCCTGTTCATGTGCACTTTTTTCTGTGATACAGAAAGAATGAGGACAGATTAAAACAGAAGAGAACTTGAGATGCTCATTGACAAGGGGGGATAGAAATTTCTCTAGCAGAGGAGAAGAGGGGAAGAGGGGAAGAAGAAAGAACATAGCAAGTTCATTCATTCAACAGGTTACCGAGTGCCCTAGTCCATTTTCTGCTGCTAGTAATAGAATGCCACCAACTTGGTAATCTACAAAGAAACTATGACTTGGCTTGCAAAGAAAGTCCAAGTCCAAGAGCACGGTCCTAGCACCTATCAAGGGACATCAGGCTGCATGATACTGTAGCAGAAGGTGGAAGGGCAAGAAATCATGTGAGGCAGAATGAAGGGGTCTGGGCTTCACCTTTCCATCAAGAGCCCACACTCCTGCCATAACTAGCCCATCCCCCCCATTAACACACTCATGAGAGCAGAGCCCTCATGAGCTAATCACTTACTAAAAGTTCCAACTCTTAATACCATCACAATGGCAATTAAATTTCAACATGAGTCTTGGTAGAAATATTGAAACTATAGCACCAAGTTCCTCCTGCTTGGTGCCAGGAACACTGAGATGAGCAGGATGGTGTCAGTGTCCTGAGGAACTCATCATCCAAGAGGGACAATCAGAGTATGTCAACAGGTAAACAGAAGGGTTGTACCTGCAATAGGGTCTTACAGCTTGTACACAGGTCTTCCAGGAGGGCCCCCCAGAGGACATGATTGGTAAACAGAGTCTGGAAGAAAGACTATGTTTTCCAGATGTCCTAGGGAGGCATCTCAGGAAGGAGAAACACAATGCCTATTGCCTGGATCAGTGGGGGAAAGGGTGTGGAGAAAAGGATATGGATATAAAAGACATGTAAAGGCAGAAACACGTTGGGTGTGCCCCTTAGACTTCCATGTGGGGTGAGCACGTGGAAGGTGGTGCGAATATGCATGGCCAGGGCAAGAGCCCAGAGCCCTCAGAATCCACTGCTACCGGCTCTGGATGCCCCTCCTCTCCTGCAGGTTGCACTCACGTTTGGCACAGATGTTCCCAAGGTCTGAGTTGTCACTTTTCCGGTCCACGTCATTGCTGACCACGCAGGTAAGGCTGGCATTATGCTGGCTCAAGGGAAGCCTCAGAGTCAGGGTCCAGGGGTTGGGGACTGGTCCTGGCGTCCCTCTCTGCTCTAGTTCTCTGGGGATGTCCTTGCTCTCCCAGGTCACCATGAGGCTCTCTGTAGTTCCTGAGGTTGAGCATAGCAGGGTGACATTGCACCAGTCTGACGAGACGGATGTTGACTGGATCAGGATCTTGGGGGAGGGCACAGGTTCTGGGGGAAAAGAGACAAAAGACTGGAGCCTCACCTGTGGAGCACGTGACACATTGCACTTCCTCATCTGTTATCTCACCGAGGCCCTGGCACACTCTCTACAAGGAAGGTCAAGGATCTTACACATAAGACAGTTTTCCCAAAGCTAAACCTATAGCAAGTGACACCAAGGAGAGAGCCACTGAGTTCAGCTCTCCGG